TCGGCTGCGTGGCAGCTTTTAGCGTGGTGGTATCCGCTTGTACATTTCCCCAAATCCCTGCGTACCCTAGTACAAACTAAGCGATGTTTATTTAATGATGGTAATGTAGGAACAATGCGACGAGTATTACAATTAAATATTTATTATCAATGTTTTTTAAATATCTGACAATAACCCTAGATAGTTATTGGTTTACTGCGGTTTTAGAACTGATCAGCTGTTTGTTATCTATTTTGTATTATATATGCGTTTCAATGCGCACTGACGGCTCTTTCTCGTTGCGTATAAAAACTATCAGGTAAGTTGAACAATTTTTAAGGTCTCGAGGAGCCTGTGCTTGATGTGCTTTCCTCCTCACCCACATATGGCCGATATAACCAGAAAGCAAAATAGTGAGTTATTGCATACAAGTACAAGTTTTTCCAGGAGATTACAGTTCATTTGAGCGTGTTAAGGTCTAAATTACGCTTGTTTTTGATGTACACAACGTACATGTCAACTGACCCAATTAAAATATCGATATTAGTCTAAATTCACTAATTTCGTGGTCCGCTTGACCAATTAATATATTATAATTTGAGTTGAGATATTATAGTATAATTAATTATTAATTGAGAATTAATATATTATAGTATAATTAGTTGAGATAAAAAAGCCAATAGCACGAGCGGGATTCGAACCCACGATCTTCGGCTAGATACGCTGCTGCTCTACCACTTGAGCTATCGTGACCTCGATCCACTCGGACCCCAACTTCCCATCTCAACCTACGACCTTTCGAATTTTCCCGTTTTTTTGCCATTTTGTAAATGTTGTGTAATCACGATTCGATTCTCAGCGACATTTTAAGTGGCCACAGGGAGCTGTTAGTGAATATAATCCATTATATTTAGTGGTCTGTGGACCAAATTACTTCATTCAATTAATTAATCTTTTTATGTAAGGTTTTGGTTGAAATGAATCGCATAAACCCCGCTCGTGACACTAATATTTTCATTTCAACCAAAATGTTACATAAAAAGATTAATTAATTGAAATTAGTAATTGGGTCAATATACTAATAAATATAATGTGATTAGTGACCGTTTGTCTATGATTATTCAGAAATCGTGAGATGCGGTCTGGTGTGACGTAGGTTTCTGAAAAACATTTTCTTTATCGTGCCAACGTTTCGATCTTTATTGAGATCATCTACAGGGCCTGGGTTTTACAAACATTGTTTAAATTTAACAAAAACATGTAGGATGTAAAAAAAAGTGAATTTATACAACGCAAAAAAAATTACTTTTTTTTATATTAATTCATATAAAGATCGAAACGCTGGCACGATAAAGAAAATGTTTTTCTGAAACCTATGTCACACCAGACCGCATCTCACGATTTCTGAATAATCATCGACAAACGGTCACTAATCACATTATATTCATTGACCCTATTACTAATTTCAATTAATTAATCTTTTTATGTAAAATTTTGGTTTTGAATACGAAGTATATAGGCATTGTAGGGAACTGGCAGAATAAACTCGCTCAACTTAGGGCTTAGGAATAAAAAGGTCTCGAGGATACTTGTTTTAACGCAGACATCGTACAGGCCTAGTTCATTGTGGTATATGTATCTAAGAGATATATTGGTTGAAATAGTGTTAAAGTATCAAGTATTCTTATATTTCCTGTGTACATTCCACTGACCCACTAAAAATTCCGATCGACGTTTCCACATAAATACACTTCGAAATTAAAAACGTTCATGGCGCTACGGTCTTTGAATAATCTATATATTGGATTTTATCTTCGCTTTTCGAATTAATTTAATTAATTATTCATTTTATCTAAGGTTTTTGGTTGAGATGAAAAATTGGTGTCATGAGCGGGATTCGAACCCACGTCCTTCGCCTCAATACGCCGCTGCTCTAACCTGTTGAGCTATCTGCTTATTGAGCCGAAGGTCCTGGGTTCAAACCCCACTCATGACACTAATTTTTCTTCTCAACCTTATAAAAAGATTAATCAATTGAAATGATTAATATGGTCAATTATGACCACTAAGCAAATATGGATTAAGATAAATTAAGATTAATTAGTTTATTAAATTCACTAATTTCGTGGTCCGCTTGACCAATTAATATATTACAATTAATGAAGATTTTAAGTAGAGATAAAAAAGTCAATGGCACGAGCGGGATTCGAACCCACGATCTTCGGCTTGATACGCCGCTGCTCTACCACTTGAGCTATCGTGACCTCAATCCACTCGGACACCAACTTCCCATCTCAACCGCACCTTTTGAATTTTCTTTCTTTTTTTTGCCATTTTTCATTAATTCATTAATTAATTTGAAAGTTCTACGCTGCTTTTCATGTAGATATCGTACATGCCTGTCTACTCCCTTGAACCACCGGTGTAACACGAAATTAAAATAGTTCATTATTGTAATTATACGTATGATCTTTTGTCTCATTTTTATAGTTTTTGTAAGAGATATCAGTTAAGTTTAAGTTATAAAGTCTCATGTATGCTTGTGTTTGATGTAGATATGGCCCATACTATTCATCCAAATAACACAACATTATTACCTTCTGGTAGGTTTTTATTGTTGTAAACATGTAATTGATTATGATTTTATTTGTTACTAAAGTTTTTTTAGGATATAACAATATTATTGAACTAGCGTTAAGATCTGAAGTATGCTTGCCTTTGGTGTTGAATCGTACATGCCATTGGCCTAATTATATGGCCGCTATATTCAAAGTCCAATTAGTACAATGTTGTAGCGAAGTCCTGATGGAATTTTTGCTTTACTTTTTTAACTGTTTTCTAAGAGATAATAGTTTACTTCAACTTGGAGTTTCATGTATGTTTGTTTTTAATGTAGACTACTTATGTACCTTTATAAAATACTATATAGCTCGAAATCATTAGAGCCCATTATTGAGACAAGCCATTACATAACTTTTATGGTATTTGTATGAGATATCGATTCAGTTGAACAATTTGAAAGTTTCAATTATCCTAGTTTTTTTATTCATTGTACATGCAGAACCAGCTACCTCAAACACTGATTTAACATAAAATAACAAAATTTATGTGTCAAAAATTCATTCAATTCATCCAACTATTCATTAGCACTATTTGTTAGATATTATTGCACAATTATTATTAAAACCATAAGGTTTTTACTTTCTTTTATTCTGCTGGTTTTGAAATAAAACTGAAAGGATACGCCCGGTTTACTGGATTACTCAAACTAGTCCCTATAGTGTTTAAATTTGACATTTTGTCTTGTATCTATTCAGAAATGTATGTTTATTTCTTTCCCAAAATAGTTGAGTTTACTTAACACCAATTTAATGTTCGCAAGTGTCACACATTTCGCCTTTTTTTTTTAATATCTAGCTCACCTAAGGTCCACATTTCTCGGGCCGTGCACAATGCTGGCCGCTCCTCAAAATGTGCTGTTCAATAAATAGGACCAAGAGGTTCCCCATTCGACCCGCAAGAGCTCAGACGATGTCGGAAAGAGGACGCTACCTCTGAGCATTTTCCGAAAACAGCTCGCAAACCGTTAATAGTTTAATTAAAAATATTAGTAAAAAACTGAATTTTTTAAAGTCGGACTTTTATAGTTGATAAAACGTTATTTGAACCTGTAAGGAAAGCTGGGGTTAAAGGAGACTAGCTAAAAATCGTGTTTTATAGAAAAAGCTCGTTCATTCTATGTCCGTGAGAATGCAGCCACTGTCCTTCAGCCAGCAAAACGTTCAATTTATTTATCAAAATTTCATTTTCTCATAATAATTTATTTTGGAAATGTTCTTAATGTATTGGACATTTAAGTCTCAAGCCTAGCTAAATTGGCAGAAACGAGATAAAGCACTTTTTAAGTACTGCACTTTTCGTCTGTTTTTTCTAAATATTTGTCCAACCCATTTTACCTTCTACATATTTCATTATATTACAAAATGGTTATAACAAAAATTAGATCGTGTATATTTATTTGTCAATATTTTTTATGTAAGATGGAAAATTTTCTCCTTTTTAGTTTTCTTGTCATTCAGGTTTTGGTTGATTGTTGTTCTCACCACCTGGGAAACGTACAATTAGTACAAGCCTATGGATGACTGTGGTATCTATTTGACTATTTGTCCGGCCGAATATTTTTTTGTGGAATACTTTGCTGCTAGCGTGGTGACACAACTCACTTATGTCACCAGCTTGGCGTCACAAGTCTTCTGCTACAACACACTCATGTCGCCAACTTGTCGTCACAGTTCTGGTGATACAACTCACTCATGTCGCCAACTTGTCGTCACAATTCTGGTGATATAACTCACTCATATGACTAATTTGACGTCACGATTCTGGTGAAACAACTCACTCATGTCGCCAACTTGTCGTCACAATTCTGGTGAAACAACTCACTCATATGACTAATTTGACGTCACGATTCTGGTGAAACAACTCACTCATGTCACCAACTTGACGTCTCAATTCTTCTGTTACAACTCATGCTTGTCACCGACTTGACGTTTCAATTTTTCTGTTACAATTCACTCATGTCTCCTACTGGACGTCACGATTCTGGCGAAACAACTCACTATATGACCAATTTGACGTCACGTGTCTGGTGAAACAACTCACTTATGTCACCAGCTTGACTTCACAAGTCTTCTGCTACAACTCACTCATGTTTTAACTTGTCGTCACAATTCTGGTGAAACAACTCACTCGTATCTCCAACTTGACATCACAATTCTGATGAAACAATTCACTCATATGACCAACTTGATGTCACGAGTCTACTGACACAACTCACTCGTGTCGCCATCTTGTAGTCACGAGTTTGGTGAAACAACTCACTCATGTGAGCAACTTGATGAAACAACTCATCATGCCGCCGAGTTGGCGTCATCCCCAGTGAATATATTGAAACCAATTTGAATTTATTAAGTATATTGATTTTATACTCAATAGTTTATTTAATTTAAATGCCTTTACAGGAAGCTGACATGGCAATAGCTTCGATGACAATTACCTCAGAGAGAGAAAGGGTTATAGATTTCAGCAAGCCGTTCATGTCTCTGGGAATCAGCATCATGATCAAGAAACCTGTCAAGCAGAAGCCAGGCGTGTTCAGTTTTCTCAACCCCCTGTCCAAAGAAATCTGGGTCTGCGTTATATTTTCCTACATAGGGGTATGTCATGTTCAATCTAAGTGTTACGGGTCATTTATTTTTTTCTTAAAACATTTCAGGTGAGCATAGTGTTGTTCATCGTGTCAAGATTTTCTCCGTATGAGTGGAGATTGTTGAGCTATGGAGACGAAGCACACCACCACGGTTTGCACCACACGGTTCCACCGGGTCCGGCAAACGCGGCCAACGTACTTGCAAACGATTTCAGCATCATGAACAGCCTTTGGTTCTCTCTGGGTGCATTTATGCAACAAGGGTGCGACATATCGCCGAGGTAAACTTATCCACTTTCTTCTTTAAACCCTAAACTATTGGCTATAAATTGACAAGGTATTATGTCTACAAACTTGATAAATATTTCATTTCTTTGCTATACGCCTATTATCTATAAAAATTACCGTCCTATTTTGTATTAATTTTTTTTATTTTTTATTACAGATCTATATCAGGAAGGATTGTAGGAAGCGTATGGTGGTTCTTTACACTCATACTTATTTCATCTTATACTGCCAACTTAGCTGCTTTTCTCACTGTCGAGAGGATGGTCGCACCTATAAACTCACCAGAAGATCTAGCATCTCAAACCGAAGTACAATATGGCACACTTTATCACGGCTCGACATGGGATTTCTTTAGGGTAAAATTTATTTAAAAAAAAAAATAATTTTCGTCAGATCATAACTGTATTTGTTAAACTTTGTGTAGAACGTTATTGATTATTAAGTCCATTAGAGTTCATGGTCGGATTGACCAAATAACTTCTTTCAATTAATTAATGTGAGGTATTGGTTGAGATAAAACGGCAAAATAAAGTTGAAAAATGGCAAAAACGAGGGAAAATTCGAAAGGTGGGTTGAGATGAGAACTTGGTGTCCGAGTGGATCGAAGTCACCATAGTTCAAGTGGTAGAGCAGCGGCGTACTTAGCCGAAGGTCGTGGGTTCGAATCCCGCTCGTGTCACTGACTTTTTTGTCCCAACCAATATCTTACATAAAGATTAATTAATTGAAATAAGACATTGATTATTATTGTCATTCTTTCTTACCAATCTCACTTTATTTTCAGGCCTGTTTGTTTTCGGTAGTTCACATAACATAACACAGTTTACACCATAAAAAATTGTTCAATTATAAAAACTCATATGGGCTTTGTTATCTGCAAATCTACTGAAGATTAGAGATCGACAGAGTGTTTGATAAAAAAACTATGAATTGATTGCTGTTTTCAAATTTTAGTTTTTATTGCACTTTCATTTAAGATTGGTGTTCCATTTTATTGAACTTTAAAGCGCTTTTGTTTATATTTTTTATTTGTAGATTGATTAGTAAAATATTTTTCACCTCTGAACTCCTCCTCTGCCGATCTGGCTGTTTACCTTTATATTCAGTTATCAAATTTGTTAATCCTTTCCATTTTTGACAAACTTGTAAAATAATACTTATAACCTACTATACAGTTAATTATATTATACCTATGTTTTATAGCAGGAAAGCCTCATGGCATGTTTGTTTGGTACCGTCAAACGATTTTCCTACATCAGTTGTTAATTCAATCTTTTCATCAGTTTTTACTGTGATTACTAAATTATTAATTTCGCAAAGATAGAATTTGTAGAATTACCGAAAAATACAAATGCTTTAAAATTGTCTTAAGGCCTTTTCCAGTTTGGCCTTCAGTCCTCTAGGCGTTACTGATGAATTTCTTGATTTTCTGGAATGCACTACACTCAAATAAATTATTATGTTTCATGTTACAGTTGATTAATATTAGACTTTGAATGATTGCCTTGTGTCTTTTGCAGAAATCGCAAATCACGCTTTACAGCAAGATGTGGGAGTTCATGAACTCTAGGTCGCACGTCTTCGTTCGGACGTACGACGAAGGAATAAAGCGAGTGAGACAGTCGAAAGGAAAGTACGCGTTGCTTATAGAATCGCCGAAGAACGATTACATTAACGAGAGGGAGCCGTGCGACACGATGAAAGTCGGCAGGAATCTAGATGCAAAAGGTTTCGGCGTCGCGACTCCTCTGGGATCTCCTTTAAGGTAATTTTTCAATATGTCCAACATTGCTTTAATATATTTCGTCTAAGTAATAATAATAAAAAATTGTATAAAACGTAAAATTGATTTGATAAAAAAAAAGATTCTTTCAGAAATTATTTGGAAATAGTGAAATGCGGTCTGGTATGAGGTAGGTTTTAGAAAAACATTTTCTTTATCGTGTCAACGTTTCGATCTTTATTGAGATCATCTTCAGGACTCAAAGTGTTTGTTTTCTGCGTAATTGTGTCATTATTGTGTGTCGTGTGAGGGTACTCTCAACACGACGCACATGACACAATCACGTAGAAAACAAACACTTTGAGCTCTGAAGAAGATCTCAATAAAGGTCGAAACGTTGGCACGATAAAGAAAATGTTTTTCTAAAACTTATGTCATGCCGGACCGCTTTTCACTATTTCCAAATAAATTAACTAACGGTCACTAAACATCACACATTTTTTCAATACTTACTGAAAATTCTCTAATGCATAAACATATTATTGTTTACATTAATATTTTTAGTGTCAATTTAATTTTTTGTATTATTATTCTCAAATATCGTGAGATGCCGTCTCACGATATCTGAATAACTATCGATTAACGGTCACTAATCTCTACACATTATTCTCAAATAATATTTCATAAATCAATATTGAATCTTGTATATTCATTTGGACTACAATTTCATTTTTCGAAATGGATAGGAATTTGTTCATTTGTCTTTTTCTTTATGAATGTACAACTTTGAGGTAGCTCAAAAAAGGAACATTATCCTAACCCTATCCTAACTCTTGCAAACCATATTTTTACCCAATAAAATGTCTATAGCCCAAAACCATATTCATGTTAAAAAAATAAGTTGACTTTTATTCGAAATAAATCATTCAGTTCACGTACAAGTTTGCATCATAAACTTGTTTTAATAATACTTGTCTAGACTTGTCTTTGGTGAGGGTGATTTGATCATTAACTTAATATGATGAAGTAATAATATCAAATAACAAACACGAACAAAATGCAGGTTGTTGATTTTGAATATTATTATATTATTAAAATCTTTCAGTTAATTAAGGTTTTTAATTGAGATAAAAAAGTAAGTGTCACGAGCGGGATTGGAACCCATGATCGTCGGCTAGATACGCCGCTGCTGTACCACTTGAGCTATCGTGACCTCGATCCACTCGGACACTAACTTCCCATCTCAACCCCACCTTATGAATTTTCCCTCCTTTTTGCCATTATTAATAATATAATTTCTTTTACAGGGAAGTAGTTAATTTAGCGGTCCTGTCGTTGATCGAGACGGGAGAACTTGCAAAACTGAAAAACAAATGGTGGTACGATAGAACAGAGTGCAAACACGGCGATAAGGTAAAATTAAAAGTAAAAAAAATCAACTTATTTACTAACACAACATTTTCAGGACACATCGAGAAACGAATTGTCGTTGAGCAACGTTGCAGGGATATTCTACATATTGATAGGCGGACTCATTCTCGCCATGGCTGTTGCTCTTCTTGAATTTTGCTATAAATCTCACACAGAAGCAACACGAGCAAAAGTAAGTAGCGGTTTAGTAATGGATAAAAAAAAAACCAAATAGGTTTATTATTGTTCAGGTTTATTTTTCTGATCGAAATACGTATAAGTTCTATCTTATTCTAAGAAGCTGACTACAAGGAGCCAAACAGAATTTAGACACTGATAAAGTTTTATCATTCAAAGAACAAGTCACATTTTGGAAATTTTAAGTAAAGATTATGTATTCATTTATTTACCTTTGATTTTTTCCCCCGGCCGGCTATCTGCCTGGGCTATTGCCAGCACCTTACATTTCTTCCACCTCACGTTTAAAAATATATATATATATATTTTTTTTTTTAAGTTATCTTTTCTGTAGGAAGTCTGGCAATCTTTCTGGTTATGTTCTGGGACGTTATTTCTACATTTTTAGCCATCCCACACGTGGCGAAAAGAGGGTTCTCGATATTCCTCTGAAGACGCGCCCTCGTTCACGCTAATAAATACATTTATACATTAAGTACAATTAAAATTACAATTAATCTAAAATATTAACCTAGGTTGGTAGGTTTATGGGGCACTCGATATTCCACCATAGACCCACACTACTATCGCACTAATAAATACATTCACTCAAACAGTAACCAATCATTCTGTATTTACAAATTTAAAAAATGCGGAGCCACTGGCGCATTTAAAATTACAACAGTGCCTCCGCCTGTTCACTCTAAAAGATATTATAGCCTAATATACTAACCTAAATTGGTGGGTCTTTGGAGTACTCGATATTCCTGCATATCCCACCCATACACACTCACTTTCGCGCCAATAAATACATTCATACTATCCAAAATACTCAAAGAGATATCTATCCTAGTTTGGTGGGTCTGTGGTGTACTTGATATTCCTGCACAACCCACCCATACACACTCACTTTCGCGCCAATAAATACATTCATTCTACCCAAAACACACAAAGAGATATCTATCCTAGATCGGTGGGTCTGTGGTGTACTCGATATTCCGACCACTCATACACTCACACATTCTCGCCAATAAATACACTCACTTCAGGTAGAAAAACGAGACCACGTGTAGAGAAGCTTTTACCTTAGATATTAGTGAAACTATGAAACTGATATTGACCTGTAGTTTGCCTTTTTTTTTTTATTAGAAAATCTGGAAAGATTCCGCTGTACATAATTTTATTTATTAAGTTTCATAATGATGGGCCAACAATACCCGATGAACACTTTAAAATTTTTGATACCAGGCCAAAATAGTAATTGATTGAACTGTTAATGAATAAATTACGGCCGTTTCTACCTCTGTAAGAATTCAAAGAAGAAAAATTTGAAACGTTTATATAAAATTAAATTTTATGTTTTTGGTGTATAATACGATAGATTCTTTTTGCCACATTTTCATTTATGAATTATTATACAAAATAATTTATTAAATTAATTTGGAGTTTTGGCAGTATTGGTGTATTGATTTCATCGTATTGTTTTCGTTTAGAGTTTATTATTTTCCACCTTATTTTTTTTCGGTTTTCCACCCTTAAAATGACACAGCCATCAGTATTTTAGCGTTGCTGAGTTTTTCTTATTCCGACCTTAATTAACGGTCCGTACAGGACCTCTTTATACGGACTAGTGTAATTTCTCTTTGTAACACACGAATTTCAAAATTTTAAATTTTAAACCTCTTGATTTTCAGATACCCCTTTCGGACGCTATGAAAGCCAAAGCCCGTCTGACCATCGGCGGGAGAGAGTACGACAATACCAGAGTAAGTATGCCCTCTAGGGAGCACAACACTTTTAAAAGAGAATATCACATTTCCTTTTAAAAAACCAAAATTCGCCAAATTTGATCTGTGAGTCCAATATATGTCAATACTGTAAAGTCAATCATAGCTGATGTATTTTATAATAGATGTTCTTTTGTAAACAAAAAAAAAGCAAAAGCTTTAATCATATATCAATTAATATTTATCATTATTATAATATAATTACAAAGTATATATTAATATTTGAAATAATTATGGAAAGAATCATATTTTAACTTTGAAATCACAATACATATTTATTTAATATAAAAATATTGGTGATTCTTTCAATAATTATTTGCCTTAATACAGGCTAAATTAAGTTAAATAATATTTTAAAATGTAGATGCATGACTATGCATAGTAGTAAGATTGCCTGCCTTAATAAAAATTACTAACAATCTACACAATAATTATTTAAAACAATATAACTTTAGATAAAATACAAAATTTAAATTTTTTATGTATAAGCATGTTACAAGTTTTCAAGTCAAAAAAATATGACAGTACGCTTCTTGTACGAATACATTCAATATTATGTATTTTTGGTATAATTTTTGATCGGATTTTTAATCGAAAAAAATTGGTTTAAAAAAATAAAATGTATAAAGCTGTGTTATTCAATGTAACATTCGAACATTGCTCAGTCTTTTAAATGTTGTACAATATTGGTTTTTTTCAACTTTCTTACTATATCTTTCTTATTTTTAATTTTATTTTTTTCACCCTTTCATGTTATCTTTATTTTTTTCCTTTTTACTCTTTCGAAATATTGTGCATACCGATTTTTATGTTGAGTTGTACGGGATAGAGTAATAAAGTTGCATGGCGTACAACAGGCAAATAGAATAAAGCAAAGAGGGCTTTTTATCATAGTGAGTACAAATTATTCAACCAAGCTTTTTCTAAGCATGCAGCCATTTTAACGTCTTTAACTTAATGTCTTTAAGTTCAGACGTTAAGCAAATAAAAAAAAAAAAAATGCAACGCAAACAAAAACGTCTTTAACCTACTGTACAAATACATCTTCATTATTTTGATGAAGCATGTATAACAGTCTGCATGGTTTCGATTTATTATTTATTTATTTGTAAATTAAAAGAAAAATAAATTTAAATGAACTGTTTTTTTTGTTTTTTTCAGAATCTATTGACAAAATTTAAATGTTTATAATGATTTCAGATTTGTAACATTTTTTGTACATTGTTTATATTGTCTTCTTATAAAAATAATGTCTTCTCAATAAAGAAAATGCTTATTTTTTACCAATTCTTGAAAGGTTTAAAATTTTTCTGCACGATTTTGATTTTTTTTATGATACGCTTTAGAGCTTTTTCTATGAACACTTTTCGTTAAATCGTGCTACCTTGTTATGTTAAATTTTTTTTGCTCTTATTTATTGCTTGCTTCAGCATGGAACTTGTGGCATCAGAAAGACGATTAGCCTTGTTTGCATTAACGCTTTGCGCGGAGGGGCATGATAAAGAAAAATAAAAAAACGGACTGCAAGAGAAAAAAGTGTGCCAGGACAAGCGCAGGATAGTCGATTGCATTCGCTTTTGTCTGTATGCCCCACCAGGCCCATCCGAATTGCCCTTTGAATTAAACGTTGTTTGTCTTTCTTGTTTTCTGTTTGTTCAATATAGAAACGAGACACCCTCTTTCAGTACTATTCGTCGGGAAACGCAATAAACCAGCCTGAAAGCGACCAGCTGCACAGCAACACACACACCCAGGTGTGATCCGCTACGTCAGATATTTACTGAAATCACAAAGTGCCAAGAGAGTGCGTGCTATCATAGTTTTAAAACTATTCTGACTTAAATGAAAAAAAACCCTGAATTTATGGTCAATGTGAAGTGATAAAACGGCCGACTGGCCGTGTGACACAAATTTCTAAAAAAAATCCATGTGATAATGTACTTTAGTAAAATTTAAAAGTGGAATATTTTATGTTTTCAATTTTGTCATTATTGTAAGCAAGTGTGTACAATACTCATATTAGTAGATTCCTTGTGTTACCGAGATCTGATTTCTACCATAAGTACCATGTATAGGGATGTCATTTCCTTAAATGTTCAAAATTATTTATTGACAATGTTTTACATGTGTCCTTTGTTTCGTTAAAAATCAAATGTCATTGTTAAGAGAGAAATTGAAGAAATGATACCAGCGTAAATTTTTTTCTTAATTAGGACAAATTGTATTGCAACACTTTTTTAAATCTAAGAACAAAAATTATAACTATTCCAAATTTGTAATGTCTAAATATTTATTGAATTTTGTCACCAGTAGGGCAAAAATACTTCAAGCTAAAAAAAAAAACTATAAAAAAACTACATTTAGTATAAGTTAAAGCTAAACTTGATTTTCTTACATTTTTATATCTTTTAGTTCAGATAAAAACGTAACAAAATTATCAATCAAATTTGTATTTAATTATATAAATTTAAGGCATCAGTTTTCCAAACGAATAACGCTTTTTTTATTTATATATTTAAATCCTCTTCAACTCGATGGATTTCTAATTACATACTCTTTGCGTTATTATGAGAGCCTTTATTTTTTTAAGTATTAAACCTCAATATTTTACCTTTTTTCAAGATACTTTTCAAGCATTTTTATTAGTCTAAAAATTGGTTTAGTTTTTCGAAAGCCAGTCCCAGTTGGCCTATTGCAAACAGGCTTTTTTTACAGAGCAAACTAGGAATTCGTAGCTAGGTTTTTTTTATAAAGTCTAGATTGATTATTATAAGGTATAAACAAAATTTATAATAAAATGTTCACTTCTTTATGAAAGAAATATATTTTTTTTTAATTTTAGGATTTTTTGTAAAAGATTTTTAGTTGATATACTCTAAAAAATTATATATCAATCAAGATGATGCAGAATTTTGTAGAAAACTGGATTTACACGGGTTACCGGTTTTATAGACCATTTTGTTTTAGATATTTGTATACGCTTCATCATTTTAGATTTTGATATAAAATCTTGCAATTTTCTGTACCATTTTCTCAAATTCTTTTTGACCTATTACATCCTATCTATTTTATATTTAAAATTGTTATAAATAATTTTTCCTTTCCCCCACTAAAGTTGTGACAACCATTTACGCGATATTTTTATAATTATACAAATATTTTTCTCCTCCTGGATTCTTTTAAAGAGAGTGCATACAACAAATGTTTGTTATTGTTCTTCAAAATGCAAAATTAATTAGATCAATATGAGCAAGTTTAAAAAAAATTCTAAGATAGTTCTTTTGATCAACTTATTTGTCTATTCTTGCTCTACGTAAAAACCAAAACATTGGCATTTTTTGTAACATTTTCTTATAATTTATTTACTTTACTAAATTCTTGCAATTTAGAGTTGTAGTTAGATGAATTTAAAAACAGTGATTCGTATTTTTTCCTAAAATTGTGACAATTTTTTACAATATGTTCTTATATTCAAAAAAATCCTTTTCCCCTGCCGTTTCTTTTCGATACAATTTTTAGCTTTCTCTTCTTCTACCAAATGAAAAAAAAAAATCAGATAAAAAATCTTAAGACCTTTGTTCAACAAAAAAAAATTTTCTTCGCTTCTCGTTTAAAAGAATTTCCTTGTCAAAATCGTCGTCCAAAACGAAAAAAATCGATTTATCATTTTGACGTGTTTTGGAGAAAAAAGTATGGAAACTTTAACTAATCAGACTATTCTTGCTAGTTTTGTCAGACACCTTTCCAACAGGAATGATAGTACGTATTTTTTTTCTCTTTCGTGACTTTGTACCAGTAAAGCCCAACCAAAGAATATATTTATAATCTATATATAAAAATATAGATTACTGCTTTGTCAGAAAAGTGGTTGCTACCCTCTTAATATTGTCATATGTCATGCTGTCATGTTTTCAGAGATAACATAAATTATTAAGAGTAACATAGTTAACTTAAAAAATAATTTAATAAATTGAAAATCAGTTTATTATGTTTTGTTTTTAATTAACAACATAAGCAAGATTTTCTAATATTTTCATATTACTGAAGTGTTGCAATACAAGATTAATGTATTATACTGGTAAATATTTTTTTTAAACGCTGGGGACAATAAATGTAGTGGTGCCAAAGACCGAAACACTTTTTTCTTTAAAGTACCAGTTTCATCGGTGAAAAATATCTGTTAATTCGCTTAGTTTCGTAATATTCTCGCTCAACATGAATGTACAACCGTGCTGATGTTTTGTCTCACTCTCTCTTCCATTGTCTGTCTCAATTTCTTTGTTTAATTCTTTGTAATATGGGATGAATATGAATATTGTGTACGAACGGGATAATTTTATACAGAATTAAAATTTATAGCCGGAATTCATGCATTATAATTAGCCTCATAAGAGAATAGAAAATAAGGTTTAATGGAGAAGAATTTACTCAAAATATCCTCGTCCTCATTTCTGGAAATGTTTCAGAGTGGTATCGAGGGGTGAATATTTAAAGGTTTAGACGTCGAAAGCTGTTTTTTTTTTTTTTTTTTTTTTTTTTTATCGCGGTGCTCGAAAATTTGATATTCTAAATGTTCGCTTAAAAGAGACGATTGATTTTGAGACGAAGAGTCTGGAAAATAAGAGAACAACCATGTAATAAAATGTTTATTACATTTACTGGTCTACTTTATGTTTGATTGATTTTTCGGTTTCTTTCTGTTTTTAAACCCTATTCCTGGTTGTTAAATATATTCAAACGACTAAAAACAAAACAAAATTAAACTAATAAATAAAACATAAACAATAAAATAGGACAACGTTTTGACATATAGCAAAAAATCAGTAAAAAATAAAATCTATAATTTAAATTATTCGATTAAAATATAGTAAAATGGTTAAAGAAAAAATGGCGCTTTGAAAATAAAATCCGATTCTATTCTATAGCGATGGTTGTTCTGCCTTTTATGCCGAGGGGTAGTGAAATAAAACTCCTAGGGATCGGGGTTGGTTGCACCCCCTGCCAAAGGGGTACAATAAACCAAAGTCGAGGGGGGCGGTTTGGCAAAGGGTTAGCCGCACTAAAAGATAACAACGCAGCAAGGAACCGGTGATAACATTATCAAGATGTACTCAACACTTTTCTCAGAATACAAAATAAAAGAGGCTTTCTTTTTATTCCTCCTGGCCTCGAGTCGGACGCGAGTCGATTCACAACGTACCCCCTCATGAAAATCGTTCGAATTTCAATAAATTTCAACTATTTGCATTATTAATATGTAAGACCATAGAAAAATAATGATCAAGCATATTAAAAAATAATGAAAACAGAAATACATACCATACAACAATTATTATAAAATTTAGTTTAATTAATTCGAATACTCTACATGCTAAAAGTTAACTGAATAATAATTCAATTAGAAATGTTATTAAGCAAACAAGCTAACTGCCAAAATAACCAAATTGACAATAGATTAAATGTCAATATTGACCAAATACACGACACTATAAAGTTAACGTACATAAACTTTATTATTGCATGTAATGATAAATTGGTTTATTACCGTGAAACCTTACTTTATTATTACATTTTTCAGTCAAAAACAACCGTTTTAAATTAAAAATCTATATAAATCTATCGAGTAAACATTTTTTTATGGTACAGTTTGAAAGTGAATTATGAAAAGTTTTACAAATATACTTTTCGTACATTTTTTATATTTTGAGTACTATTTACTTTCCTATTATAAATGGTCTGATATAAAATATAATAATCATTTAAAAAAATTAATTAAAATTGTTTTTGCTGTGGGAGGTTTTTAGAAAACAGGATGCACGTTGTGAATCGCCTACGTCAGTTTTTCCGCATTTCTAACGGAAAATCGTTTTGTTCCGACATACCTGTAAATAATATTTCATTCGAAAAAGTTCAAAACGTTCCAGGACGGCGTCATTTTTGAACATAACGTCTATTCACAGTTTTTTGGGGTTCCGTTCCGGGATTCCCGATAGATGGGAAAATGTCAAAATCCTTCTTGTATATATATTGTATTATATAATTGGTTAATTGTCTCAACCTGCTCTGACATCTCTCATCTATCAAAATCATTCTAAATGTTTTTTAAATGTAAATATCACCTAAGTGTAAGGAGTATTGAATTTTTAAAACGATATATGGTTCAGTTTCCTATGGGGATCTGGTGGCAGGAAATCTCTGAACCTTGTATGTACATAAATTTAGTTGGTATCTATTATATATGTATTTCATAACTCAGATATAAATATATATATGTTAAAAGGTGTTTCACTGTACAAAACAAAATATAAATGAAGAAAAATCATCACTATTGTCTTCATATTATGTATGTGCCATAATATTATAGAATTTTGTTGAGAAAAATTGTATTTATCATTATAATGTTTTCTAAATAAATATTGTTATTTATTATGTTGTTTACTCTTTACCCTTGAGTAAATCATAAAAGGTTTAATACCAAAAATATGGTACAAGAATTGGCCTAACATTGAGATTTCTAATTAAGAAAAAAGCTTTCATAAAGGGATCAGGATGAATTTAAGCGAAATAAAATACCTGCTTTTTTAAGAAAATTTTTATAAAAATCGAATGTATGACTAAGTTTTTTACAAAAGATAAAAGTATTGTTTTTATGAACTAAGACTCTAGCAGAATGATATTGAACGATTCGATAGGAAAAAATATAAAATTTATGTGTGGCCTGGGAAGGGTGCTCATTTTTGCACGCTTCTCTGAGAAAAACCAGCATGGATAGACAATTATGTTTAATTACTAGTAAAATTGATCAGTGGTAGCTTGGAATGATGAGGTAAATGTAGAAGAAGGTGCAATTGATGAACAGGCTAAAATTGATCGAAAGCTTAGCCTAAGTCATAAAATCACAAGATACACTGTCCAAGTAGAAATGAGGATGTAATAATTTTCAGAATAATAATTGATAATTTAATTGAGTTATATTATTTTGAGAATTTTGGATTTAAAAAATAAGTTTCCATAGGATTTTTCTTAAATAAGTAGGGACTTATATGAGGCTTTATGAAGTTGTTAAAATTTTAATAAATGAATAATTCCAAAATAAAAGGAAAGTTGATTGTACGAAGAACAGAATAGAATTCTATATATTTAATCAAAATTATGCCTTTTTATTGAGAATATTATCGTAAAATCAAGATATAAACTTTCGTTGACTTGAGATATTACATTTAAATTTTTTTTTTATAAACAGA